GCAGTCTGCTTTCAAAAACTGGAATACAGCACTGAGCTGGCTCTCATCCAGTGCAACTTGGACATCATTTTGCTGCATCCTTTTGCCAGGACAAAAGACCTTGACATCAGTTCCGAAAATATCCACAGTGACAACACAATCCTCCCTCTGCCTCTTCTTTGAAGGAGCATTTGTTTCTGTGGGATTGCAATCACCGCCGCCAAATATATTGTCTTCCTCCTGCTCTGCTTCTTCCAGGCAGACGTTCTGCCAAGCCGCCAGCCTCTTGGCTTTCAGCTCCTGCATCTTAGCACCATTGGCTAGGGAAGCATTCTTGGGCAAGCGGCAGGATGAGCCACACACCAGCTTGGCAATCTCTGGCTTGGAGCCTCTGAGCTTCAGGAATGTGGTGCCATCAAAATCTCGCAGTAGCTCTGCAGGAATTGCTTGGGTGGTTCCATCAAAAGTCAAGGCAACGGCCCTCGTGATTTCCACCTTCCCAGCCATGGCTGGGCAGTGGCTAACTAAGAAGCACCCACCAGCCTATTGGCGCAGATGCTGCAGCAGACAGCTGGGGCGTCTCAGGCATCATGCGCCCAAGGTGCTTAAGCCTGATAAGCCTGAAAAGGCTAAGGAACCCACTTGTCACAAGCAATGCCAACTAGCCTGCCAAAGCCTGAGCCGAGCCCTGAACCTGGTGAGCCTGAAAAGGCTAAGCCAAACAGCCTGCCAAAGGCTGAGCCCTGACCCTGAGCAGCCTGAATAGGCTAAGGAATCAGCCTGCCGCAGGCTAAGCCAAACAGCCTGCCAAAGGCTGAGCCCTGACCCTGAGCAGCCTGAATAGGCTAAGGAATCAGCCTGCCGCAGGCTAAGCCAAACCGCCTGCCAAAGGCTGAGCTGACTGCCTGCAAGTCAACGCTGTAAAAGACATGCATCCAGAAAGGCTGAGCCTATAGCAGCCTGCCAAAACTAACGAGCTTCCAACATGTGACCAAGACTGGGTGCACACAACGCAACTCCTTGCAAGCCCATGCAATGCTTCCAAGAAGCTTGCAGGCACAGCTTGCGCCCCTTTATTCAGACACACCGTTATATGCTGCAGCTTCATGCTGAAGACTTCTTTGCCTTCTTCCCACAAGCACTGTCTAGCATTCTGGACGCTGAGTCCAAAAGCAGCTCATCCCCTCTGTCAAGGGGCCTCTTGTTCCTATACAGTGGAATTATAATGCCGTCCTTTTTCATGCTGGTCAGTTCCATGTTGCCAGCTTCGCCTTCAGGTGCGTGCTTGATGAAGTTGAATGGCACAAATAGCCCAGCTTCCTTTCTGAAATCCACTTTGCAAGGCGCAATCTGAAACCTAGTTTCCAGGCCAGGGTAAGTCAGCACCGCAACATTCTTTGCATTTTTGTCAGGCTTTGCTTCCACCACTGTCCCCAAGGGTAACAACTTCAGTCCACCTCTCTTGACACTACTGCTGGCAAAGATCTGGTTGCTGCTTGACATCAAGACTTCAGGCTCATGACTCCTGGGATGGCTTGCAGGCACGGTAAAGCAACCCTCACAAAGCAACATGTAACAATTCCTAAAAACACTTGCCACTAGCATGTCTTTCCAAGGCAGGTTGCTCCAAGTACAAGTCATAGATGGCAGTTTGCAGCACTGCCTTGGCTTTGTCTACCTGGAGCTGCTCTGAATTCGCTGGCTGCATCTTCGTCAAAATGCTGCCGTCAATCAGGGCAGGCTCTTTCGAGTAGCAGACTTTCCAAGTCTTTAGCTCATCATGCTGCACATCCACTGTCACAGGGCTGCCAAACAGAGGGGCGTGCGTCATCTTGGCAAAAGAAGCCTGCATCTCAGTGAATTTGAAAATTTGGCCAGGATACTTTGCATTGGTGTAGCATTTGCCAACTTCCAAGTGAGGGTTGGCAGACATCGCAATGAACTTAGGGTCTGCTGTGTTCTGCAAAGGGACAGGGGGTTTACTGCCAGAAGATGCAGCACCACTGGCTGCAAGCGCAGCAGGAGCAATCTTGCCATCCTTCACCATGGCAGACCAGTCCTCTGAAAACAGAGTGTTGATTTGCTCCAGGCTGTCATAGGACTTCTTCTCCCTGCCTTTGCCTGCTTGTGACCAATCTGCACATAAACCTTCCCAAGGCCAAGCACTTCTTGTCCCATGCCAAGCATGGTGTCTTGGATGCCAAGTTCCAAGCATTCACCAACAGCAACTCTGCCTTACTGACCATGCTGCCGAAAGCCTGGCCTTTGAGCTTGTCCACATCTGTTTTGCTCAACAGCGTACCGTAGCCATCTCTCTGGACAGCTTTGGGCGAAGTAAGCTGTGTGGCAATGAGGGCTGTCCTCAGCATTGGGTAAGTTGTTGAGCTGCTTCTGAAGTCAAGGTTCACCACATGGCTGAGAAATTCCTCCCCCAGCTCCAGCTTGTCTGCCTTACACAGCTCACAGCAAACCAGCCTTGGTATTAAGTTAATGCAAACCAGTCACTGATGGACTCTGCAAGCTTCACCAAAGGGAACTCCTCACCTCCACCATACTTTGCTACCCATTGAGCAATCATGGGCACATAGTGAGCCCTGAGTGGCATGCAGGCTGCGGTCTGGGCAATGGCAACATCCAAGTCCTTGCTCCTGCTGTACCAGAAAGCCAAGCTCATTGCTTGCTCCATCTCCGTGGGCGTGCTTGCCACCTGTTGAGAAGTGTTCAAGCTGCCTTGCAAGAACCCGGGGAGCCACTCAAGGTGTTCTTCCACTTCTGCGCTGATCACCTTCCATGTCCAGCCTTCCTTGATCAAAGCTTCTAAGACCGGGTCTGCATACTTTGAAAGCAAACTGTCCAAGGTCAGCAGGCCATTGTTCACTCTGGCAAGTTCTTCGTGCTCTGTGCTGCAAGTGCCTGCTGCCACTGTTTTCATAAACATGCCCACATGGGAGCAAGCCACTGTCAAATATCTTTCTGTGGAGAGCACTGGGGCAATTTTGTTCTCTGACGCGCTTACCAGCTCCAGGTTTGCCTGCAGTTGCGTCTGCTTCTGGCCTGGCTCCTTTGCCATTTCAAAAGCCAAGGAGTCACTCAGCTTGTCCACCAAGCACCCCATGGTCAAAACCATGGCTCCTTTGGCATGCATGTCAAAGCTGTTGAGCATGGCCCCAGATCGGTTTGCTGGGATGCACCAGCAACTGCACAGGCTTCACCTTCTGCTCCCACAGCAAGCCTGCAGCTTGCAGCTTGCTCAAAATGACCTGACACTTTCTGTTGATCTGAAGCCCTTCATCACATTTCACTGCTATAATCTCTGCTTTCAAAGCATCATCCATGGCATGGGGCTGCAGCACTAGCAGCTTGGTGACGGCTGCCTTGTAATGTCATGCTTCGCTTGCTGGTCATGAAACTCTGCATGTTCCTTGTGCTGCGCATGTGCTGGGCAGGTGCTTCTTGCTGCTCCTCTATAGTTGCACAACTCCATGAAGCACTGAAAGCATGCATGCAACACAAGCCTGCGCAGGCTGAAAGCCGCAGCAGCTCATGGCTTCTAGACAAGAAGGCTGAGCCTGTGAAGGCTGAAAAGAAACATCAGAAGCCCAAGGGGCTGATAATGGTGCCACACGCAAGGAGCATTGCAGCATGGCAATTCCAAAATACAAGCTCAGCGATGCCCTGTTAACTGCGAGCCTGTGCAGGCTGATAACAAAACCATAGCCCAATGGGCTTACTATCAAACAAAATGAGGCAGCAAACTGCCAAAGCTGCATGCCTCAAAGAGGTGCGCAAATCATATGCTAAAGGAATCCCAGACCGGTACAAACAACATTTGAGATTGCTTTGGCCCTTTGCGGCACTATTGAAGGCAAGAACAAATCATACCTTACTATTACCTTACTAGCCCATTAAGAAGTGTGCTAAGCAAAAGTCAAAAGTTAGCTAATCCTGTAGCTAACTACTTATAAACTAGCTACTTTAACTAGTACACTTACACATGTTAGCTATTTTTTATGTAAGAGCATTAACTCAATCAGCACTTTACGCTGTTTATAAGCACTTACAACTTGTTACTAAGGCTTTACTTGACTTTTACAAAATATTTAGCAGAGGCAGTAACCATGGCAAGTCACTATTAAGCACACAGCCGATCCAAGTTTGCTAATCGCGAAATGGCCTTTTGAAGTTGTCTCGTGGTTTGCGCGCTTGCTTTCGCAATCCCGCAGTCGCGGGTTCGATTCCCCCCTGGTCTGCGGCAGCTCCTCGCAACTCTACACTCAAAGCCATGCGACTTCTGTGGTGATGAAAGCATTTTCCGGAGAACGCATATACGTAAAGGGAAGGACTTCGAGGCAGCCCCATTAGGCTTCAGGCAAAATCATCCCGCCAACACAAATCTGCAACCCCCGTCCAAATCTGTCCTAATCGCAACTTTTCAGTACCAAAGTGGCACGCGACGTAAGCTTTCGCAGCTCTGGCTGGAAAATCGCAACTTCTAAGTACGAAAGTAGTACGCGAAGTAAACTTTCGCTGCTCCGGCTGGAATATCGCAACTTTTGAGTACCGAAGTAGCACGCGAAGTAAGCTTTTGCAGCTCCAGCTGGAAAATCGCAACTTTTAAGTACGAAAGTGTGTCGCGAATAGAGGAAACTTGTTCAGAGCAACTTGCTGAGAAAACTTGCTTGGAGAACTTGCTCAGAGGGAATCGCGCCGACAACTTGCTCAGAGCAACTTGCACAGAGAACTTGCTTGGAGAACTTGCTCAGAGGAACTCGCGCCAACAACTTGCTCAGAGCAACTTGCGCAGAGAACTTGCTTGGAGAACTTGCTCAGAGGAACTCGCGCCAACAACTTGCTCAGACACGCAACTGGGCGGAGAACTTGCTAGGATTGCTAGGAGAACTTGCTGCCGCTGCTAATGCTTTCGGGCCACCCGTCTTCTAGTTTCCGCAGGTGGGAAAAGGGTCGCACCAACAAAAAAACACAATCAGGGCGAGAGGGTTGCAGCAACAGGGCCAAGTATCCTGGGAAGGCAGGTGCAGGCATTGAGCGCAAACCGTCCAATTCCCCAGCCACGCAAAGGAGAAGGCGATGGGAACCAAGTGCACGGCCGCCAGCCAAGGGAACTCCTGCCGCGCGCGCTTCACGTTTGGCATGGCTCTGAGATGATGCTTCCGGGACTCATACTTCATACTCAAGGATTGGCTTGGGAAAGGAAGGCATCCATTTTTCTCAAACAGTAACTGCATGTGAAACCTTTTCTACTTACATGTCAACCGACAAATATATTTGATGGTCAGGTCTTTTGCCAGCTACTATTTACGTCAGCTCGCTTGAACAGGTGTGGGGATATCATTGGGCGCTGCCTGTGCCAACGGGATCGTAGCTGGCACACTTAGCAGCACGCCCCAGTTTGAGAAAGCAAAGCGCAACGGCCCATCTCCAGCGCAACAGGCAGCAAGTTAAAGGCCTACTTTGCCCGGGCCGTTGATTTGGAAAATTGGCATGCGAGGATGGCAAGGGCCACAGTCCCTCATTCACCCAAAATGATCAGTCCAATGAGCTAAAGGTAACAGCACCACGGCTCAAGCGGTGGTGCAGCGCCATGGTGACTGGCTCTGCTGAATGAAATCAGGGCCCGGCGGTCCTTTGCAGAAAGGATGCCGCGAATCCTGCCAGGGTGAACCTGCATCTTCACGACACCCTATGTTGAACTGGCACACTTTGTCTGCACTGCCATGCCTGCTCCATGGTGAGCTCACACTGTTGGAGCTGTCAGTCGCCTCAACTTCCCTACCTGAGCCGCTTGTTCCAAAACCAGCCGCTGTGCGTCCGACCGTGGGAAAAAACATGCAAAGCCACCCGCCTCAGAACACGTTGGACACATGCGCCAGAATGTGTTTGTGTGTGCTGGTGTGTTTGTGTGTGTGTGTGCAGGTGTCGGGCGCCGGGTGTCTGGAGTCGGGCGTCGAGGCGTGGAATGTGAGGTGTGGGGTGTGGGGTGTGGGGTGTGGGGTGTGGGGTGTGGGATGTGGGATGTGGTGTGTGGGATGTGGTGCAAGGTGTGTGGTGTGTCGTGCGTGCGTGTGTGTGGTGCGGTGCGGTGCGGTGCGGTGCGGTGTGGTGTGGTGCGGTGCGGTGCGGTGCGGTGTGGTGTGGTGTGGGGGTGTGGTGTGGTGTGGGGGTGTGGTGTGTGTGTGTGTGTGTGGGTGGTGGGTGTGTGGGTGTGGGGTGGTGTGGTGTGTGTGTGTGGTGTGGGGGGCGGGCGGGCGGCGCCGTTGCGGGCGGGGGCGGGCGGCGTGTGGTATGTGCGCGCAAGCGCGGCGCGCGGGCGCGTGCTGCGTGGTGTGTGGTGCGTGATGCGTGGTGCGTAGCGCGTGGCGCGTGGTGCGTGGTGCGTGGTGCGTGGGCCGTGCGCCGTGTGCCCGTGTGCCGCGTGCCCGTGTGCCGTGTGCACGTGTGCCCGTGTGCCCGTGTGCCCGTGTGTCCGTGTGCCCGTGTGGGTGAGTGTGTGTGTGTGTGTGCCCGTCTGTGCGCGCGTGCGCGTGCGCGCGCTTGTGTGCGCGGGCGCGTGCTGCGTGGTGCGTGGTTCGTGGCGCGTGGCGCGTGGCGCGTGGCGCGTGGTGCGTGGTGCGTGGTGCGTGGGCCGTGGGCCGTGGGCCGTGTGCCGTGGGCCGTGCGCCGTGTGCCCGTGTGCCGTGTGCCCGTGTGCCGGTGTGTCCGTGTGCCCGTGTCGGTGCGTGTGTGCGTGTGCCAACGTGTGCACGTCTGTGCGTGTGTGTGTGCGTGTGTGCGCGTGTGTGCGCGTGTGTGCGCGTGTGTGTGTGTGTGTGTGTGTGTGTGTGTGTGTGTGTGTGTGTGTGTGTGTGTGTGCGTGTGTGTGTGTGTGCGCGTGTGTGCGTGTGCGCGTGTGTGCGTGTGCGCGCGCGTGTGCGCGTGTGTGTGCGCGTGTGTGGGTGCGTGTGTGGGCGCGTGTGTGGGCGCGTGTGTGGGCGAGTGTGTGGGCGCGTGTGCGCGTGCGTGTGCGCGTGTGTGTGCGTGTGCGCGCGCGCGTGCGCGTGCGCGCGCGCACGCGTACACGTGTGCGCACGTATGGGTGTGGGTGTGGGTGTGGGTGTGGGTGTGGGTGTGGGTGTGGGTGTGGGTGTGGGTGGGTGCGTGCGCGGTTGCGCAGTGCGCTGCGCGTGGCGTGCGTGGCCGTGCGTGCGTGCGTGCGTGCGCGCGCGCGGGCGCGTGCGCGTGCGCTTGCGCGTGCGTGTGCGCGTGTGCGTGTGCGTGCGCGTGCGCGTGTGGGTGTGCGTGTGCGTGTGCGTGTGCGTCTGTGTCTGTGCCTGTGTCTGTGTCTGTGTGTCTGTCTCTGTGTGTGTGTCTGTCTCTGTGTGTGTGTCTGTCTCTGTGTGTGTGTGTGTCTGTCTCTGTGTGTGTGTGTCTCTGTGTGTGTGTGTGTGTTTGTCTCTGTGTGTGTGTGTCTCTGTGTGTGTCTCTGTGTGTGTGTGTCTCTGCGTGTGTGTGTCTGTCTCTGTGTGTGTGTGTGTGTCTCTGTGTGTGTGTCTCTGTGTGTGTGTGCGTCTCTGTGTGTTGTCTCTGTGTGTGTGTGTCTCTGTGTGTGTGCGCCTCTGTGTGTGTGTCTGTGTCTGTGTGTGTGTGTGTGTCCGTGTGTGTGTGTGTGTGTGTCTGTGTGTGTGTGTGTGTCTGTGTGTGTGTGTGTCTGTGTGTGTGTGTGTGTCTGTGTGTGTGTTTTGGTGTGTGTGTGTCTGTGTGTCTGTGTCTGTGTCTGTGTCTGTGTCTGTGTCTGTGTGTGTGTGTCTGTGTGTTGTGTGCGTTTCTGTGCCTTTGTGCTTGCGTGTGCGCCGCTAGTGTTTTGCTTGATTGCGTGGTTGTGCGTCGTGTGTGTTTGATTCATTGTTGACCAGCTTGCTTCTTTGATTGTTTGCCTGAGTTTAGCTCGTTTTGATTGCTTGCTTGCATGCTTGGGTGCGTGTGTGCTCACCCCCTCCCTCGCTTGTTTGCACTATTGCTTGCTTGTTTCTTTGTTTGCCTCACTTCTTGCTCGTTTGTTTGTTTGTTTGTTTGTTTGGTTGTCTGTCTGCCTCCCTGCGTGTCTGTCTGTGTGTGTCTCCCTGCGTGTTCGTTCCTTCGTCTGCTCGTTTGTTTGCTTGTCCACTTGTTGGTTGCCCGCCCCCCTTGCTTGCCTCCTTGCTTTGTTTCTACACGTTTGTGTTTATGTGTGTGTTTGGGATGTTGCTTGCTAGCTTGTGTGTGTGTGATTAGCTTGTGTCTGTGTGTTGGGGTGTGTGTGTGTGTGTCATTATGTCATGTCTTGCTACCGTGTTTGTTTGTTTGTTTGCTTGCTTGCTTGTTTTTTTTTTTTTTTTGTGTGTGTGTGTGCGTGTGTTTGCCTTCACATCCCTTGGTATGGTAGCAAAAAACTGTGTGTTTTGCAGCCCTACTAAAATGAACAAAACCAAGAAACTCAACACCAAAGAACATGCGGTTTTTTGTTGGCGTACCTGCTAGCTTGCATGGTTGCTCGATCGCTGAGAGGTCTGCTTGCTGCCCGTGCTTGTATGTTGGCCCTGCTTGTTTTGCTGCATGCTGTTTGGTTGGTCGGCTTGCTTGCTTGCTTGCTTGCTTCTTACCCTACCTCGGTGTGCATGTTTGCGCGGATGTCTTTGCCAAATGATCCGCAAAGTGTCCCAAGCTGCAAACGCTTTGCTCACGACACTGGCTGCGTTTACTCCATAGCGTAAACAGTTGCAGTCTTAAATGGCAAACTGAGATCGCTAGCTACAAAGTAATCGGATGAGGTTTTGCCTGTGACAAGCTAAATCATTCAATGATTCGAATCTTAGAGTTTTCCGAGCCAACTGACTGAAAATGGTCTCTGTGGAAAATATTGAAAAGGCATGCCTTCTGCGGCTTCAGGCACTCTCCTGGACATCCTCCTGGACTGCCAATGTCCAGGCACGCGAGCGAAACACCAGGACGCCTCAGACAGATCGGAGAAATGCCAAGCACCCTGCTGAACATCGTAGGCAGCCAAACGCCTGCAATTTCAAGATGTCGCGGAAGCACGAGTTGTTGGCATCTTGCTGAAGAAGAAACCTGTGCATACAAGAATTGGCAGCATATCACAGCATAAGCGCATCTCGGCGTTGGGCGTCTGGGGCCTGTCACCACCCAGAACAAAACACTTACCTGAGAAGAAGAAGAAGAACAACAACAACCAACCGACCAACCAACCGACCGACCAACCAACCCACCAACCAACAACAACACCTCTAATCTATGAGAAAAGCAACTTGGCTCGCCACACACGCATACGCAATCACACGATGACAATCAAACTACACTCAAAAGGCACCTTCAAACACAGGGCTGATAGGGGCCGCAGCCTGACACGAAGCGCATATCCAACTCCGCTGCTTTGATCGTGCTGCGTCGCCGTACTAATTATGCAGTGCAGGCACGGTGCAGCACGCAGCCGGGTGGACAAATAGTGATGGGGCATCGATCTCTTCGCACGCGCGTGGGCGTGGGCGTGCGGGCCTGCGGTGTGCGTGTGTGCCCATGTGTAAAGTGTTCGGAGGCTGGTGAGGGGGGTTGTCATTCTCGTGCTCGCGAGCAAGCGCGTCTGCGTCCCATCGCCAAACAAATTCTACTTTCCGGCCCCAATCTGCATTGACGAAATGTGGGCCAATCACAGTTCCGATATTTCCCTCGCTGGAGCCACGGCCAGAGACTCCTAAAACAATGTTGACTAGGGTAGCACTCCTTCTCTTAGCTGCCCAAGAAGCCAAGCAGGCCAGCAAAAATGCTGTAGATGATCTGGTACTGAAGAAACTGCCAGGGCAGCCCTCCTGAGGATGCACGCCCGGCTTCTCCCCAAGCTCCCTCACAACTTTAGTGCGTGCGTGCGCGAAATGGAAAAGGCAATTCCAAATCAGCCCCTGCTGGACTTCAGCCTCAAAGGGTTCCTTTGTGACCCAACCAGTGCGTACATGACAAAACACCCTTCACGCTTATGTGCACTTATGTGTATAGTTGACACTTGCAGCCAACAGCTCCACAAACACGAAAGGATCCCGTGAAGGAAAACGCAAGCCAGTGGACATGTTTCATGCCTTCTACTTGGTGTCTAAGCCTAGTAGCCACTTTGCCAAGGCTACAATTGCAGAGGGGTTTGAGCACATAACCATCCCAGCACCCACCAGCAAAGCAATCACAAGCCTGAAGTTCAAAGAGACCGGTAGTGTGTCAAGCGCCAACTTGACGTGACGTCTACAACTGAACCTACAACCTCTTGTGCCACAAGGCCTAAAATCCCATGTTCTGCCAGGCGGCGAAACCACTTGGCATGCACTGCCGTGTGGAAACTCATGCCCAAAGCCAACCTCAAGTCTCAACGGCGTGATCACGATGGATCCAGTGCTCAACTTGAAGACGTACAGCATTCAAACAATATGGCTGATGACTTCAATCTGGAACATTTTGTGTGCTTGAACTTGATTTGCACAATGCTTTGAACACCCATCAAATGATTAATAAGCAACACAACTCACAAACAACTCACAAGCCAAGCAAAACCGCAACAATCAGCTTCCTTCTCCTTTACATTCTTTACCACGCGACCCTGGCAAGCACTGCAACCCCAACCCCACCCTCGGCATCTAGCCGCGCCAAAGGGGCGCGCACAGGACGCCTGCGGCGATCTTGCCGGACTGCTTCGGGGGTGCCGCCCGCACCGCTGCCAACAGCCCAACCTTTGGGCTGCAAACAACAACTTGGGACTCCTCAAACCAGAAGGGAAGACCCATAGAGAAGCCAAGACCGAGAGGTGACCCATCTTCACTCATGTGACATTCGACGAATCACATGTGACATCCCTCGAATTAGACGGCAGGTGGCACTGGCTTCCCTCAAGGGCGATTGCGCCGCTCTTTCGGGCTATTGGCGCCCCTACTTTTGAGCTGCTCGGGTCATGAGGGTCCCCTCCCGGCCACGTCCCTGAATACCTCAACCACTTGGCCCGAGGTCCCGCGCCGTGTTCAGCAACGTGGCGCCGAAGCCAAACGCAAGGTATCCAGCGCTGGCAAGCTGAATCCTCGGTGGCTTAGGTCTCAAGGCAAAGCGGTTTACACAAGACTGCCAGAACCACTGGTCACTTTGAACCTGAAGCCCCCCCAAGGATTGCATAGTATTCATTCTAAGTTCATGTTGCGCTCACGAAGCTGGACGGATGATATGCCAACTGGACGTGTGATTCACTAATATCAATCCATGAGATTGAAAACAATTGTTGCGCACCTCAAACCTTGGTCGACCTTCAACCCTACACCCAGGAGTTCATATCTTGGTTGACGTTGGAAGGGGAGCCAAAAAATTGATTGTTTGCAGTGGGGGTTTCCCACACCACAATAAGCGACAAATGCAAAAAAACACTTTTTCCCCAGCAACAGCCATGATTTTTCGACCTTCAACCCTACACCCAGGAGTTCATATCTTGGCCCAAAGTGCCACGGCCCGTGTTTTTAACGCGCTGCTTCAGACGCCCCCCGACTGCTCCTCCGAGGCTCGAGGGACTCGGCCTCGCCAGGGCCAGCGCGGCAGCCGCCAGCCCCATGGAGCTGAAGAGGCCGCCCAGGAGCGAGGACCTGAAGCCGGCTGGACATCGGGGCGAGTCCAAAGGTCTAGGACCCTTGGGGAAACCACAACAAAAATATTTGATTTTTGTGCCCCACTATTTTTTGGGGACAGTGAAGTTGTCCATACCCCAAAACTTGCAACCCCAGCTTGTTGCTAGGGGGTGTGCCTGGGTTTAGTCGCGAATCGTTACTTTCATCAACACTGCGCGTGTCCTTCATTCGTTTGCACATGCATGTTCGCGAATGCGAAAACATGAGTCAGGAAACATTTTTTCTCAAAACTCACCGTTGGCCTTGGCAAGTGGTGGCGTTCTGACACTTCACTTGGCACTATGCCACGAACAAATGAAACAGAACATTGGCCCTCATGGGGTTGCCTCTTTCCTGGAGGGGCAGCGTTCGGCTCAGTCCGTCCCAGCCGCAGGTGTCAACTGATCAGCATGTGTTACAAAGGACGCTCCTCCTTGCCAGCATCGGATGCAGTCGAATGTGACTATATAGATGTGTATACATACATTGTTTAAATATCTGTACATAGTCATACCATGTAGGCATATTGTTTGTGCGCACTTCCCATGAGCAAACATCTGACGAAAGCGCAAGCCGAGTCGGTCGCCGGGGCCCCCGAGCCATGCTGGCCCCAGGGCATCAAAGCACAGCCCAGCAGGCGCTGCCAAAGCGCAGGCGCCCCAATTCGCTGCCGCGTAGAGCTTGTTCGCCTCACCTCGGAATGACGAAACGGCCCCCGGAAACGGCCGCGAGACGAAGAAAAGCGATCATTGCTGCCCTCGTGTTGCAAGATGGGGGAAACTGTGAAGTTCTCAAGTGTTGATCAGGAATTGGATGGGCAGCGGTCCTCGCTACCAATTCCTCTCTTGGCATTCCTGCCTGCAGTCAGCATCTCTTGGCTGTAGATGCCAAAGATTTGCAGCAGGGCGTATTGCAGAATGATGATGCAGCACGCACCTAGCAAAACAACAACAAAACTCATCTGAGCAAACCTAACACGGCTGGAAGATAGTCTCGCGAAGCCATGATAGAATCTAAATGAGTAGCTGTACAACTCACGGTGCTAGCATGATCGAGCATGTGCATTGTGATCGCTCAGGCTGATTATCATAGTTCTACAGTCGTCCCCTTGTTCGTGAGGCACATGGCTCTGAAATTGATCGCTGCCACTGTGGGTTCCGGAATGCAGGAATCCGTGGAAGGCAGCTTTCGTGTGCATCCTGGCTGACACAACCACCACATCGGGCCTATCACCTGCACACGCGCGATCAGCACGTCGTGCTTGGAAGACCTGAGCATGACTTGGACGAAGGATATCTAAGCAGTTGACGTCAAAAAATGATGACAACCTGTCTTGGAGGTCCATGCTGCTCCAGGCCCGCAGGGAGCTGCAGAGAGGCACCCTGGCAGTCTGTCACACCTGCGGCAGGGCCAAAGTGCAAGCAGCACGACGATGATTCATGAGCTGTTGCAACCAACGGCTACACACCAAACTCTCACAGCGCAGCGCGCCTGTGCTCAAGGAACTCGTAGCGAGGCTGACGGGTTCCAGACATGGCGAAAGCACATTCATGCACCGTACATCGCGAGAAGGGCAACGGACTGGCAGCAAAGCTAGACCTAGTGGATTTTTGTCTACGACCTTCAAGGGGTTCCGCAAAGGTAGCAGCAAACGGGGGCCTTCATGTTCTGGCTAAGATCGTCAAGGCTTCCTACGGGAGGGCCATTGAGGCCCTCCAAAAATATATATAAAATGGAGCGATTCTGACCGCCAATTTGAGACGTTTCACGTGTACAGCTATATATATATACATATATATCGCTCTCCCTCTCTCTCTCTCTCTCTCTCTCATGGCAACTTGTTTTTTTTCGGGAACTTTGATTCCATCTTGTATTGTCTTTTTGCCAGGTCCCATTTGAGGGTTGCTTCAGGGTGGGTTTGAGGTAGGTTCCGGATTTAGGACAAGGGCTGGGTGTAGGCGGGCTTGTTCGAAAAAACTGTTCCAGCGGGGTCACACAAACAACTTAAATATTCTAGATGCATTTATACATCTATACGGATATATATATATATATACATATGTGCATTTTCTCGATATGTATATATATATAAACACATACATACATACATATATATATATTAATAATATAGATACATACATATATGTATGACATATATAAATAGTGCTCATATCGCGTCACGGTTTCCATGTACCCTTTTTGTAGCCGCGGCGCAGCAGCTGCGAGCTTTTGAAACCTGTCGTCCTGGCGTCGGAGCGTCTGAGACGCGTCGCTTGCGTGCTCCACGGGGGTTGGTCCAATCCCTCCACTTGGCAGGCGGTTTTCTGAGTTCATAGGCGTCCTTTTTCCCTGAGTTTCCCTGGCAGATAATGAAACCACTAGGTAAATCAGGAATCGCCATCGATTCTTCGCTTTTGAATACAACCAAGAACGTGCCGGGTCATGGTGCCGTACCAACCCTTCAGGGATCTTTTGACCACGGCACATCTTCCAATGGGCATGCGCGCACGGCCCGTTGCGGCTTTCACTATAAAGGGGTGTCCCCTTGTCTTGGCCCGCAGCCAACTAGCGAAATGATGACTCCTTCCATGCATTGTGATGGACAGCACTCTTCTCTTACTATCAGCAGAATCTCCCGAACCACACCCTGGTGGAAAACCGCGCGCTTCGGAATTGCCACAAAATGATCGCCTTGCCAGCCGTGTGCGGTGAATGGCATGTGAATGGCCAGCACTTGCAACATGAACATTCCAAAGCTCAAGCTCGGCAAGCTACGCCTCCCAAAACCCAAAACCGCCTCACTCCCCTAACTCACTCCCCTCACTGTGGAATATTTCGACTTCACAGAATGATTTGGGGTTGGCTGAGGGTCAGCTTAGGCTTGACGCAGCGGTGACAAGATGAATTGGTCAGAAGACTGGACACTGAGTAGAACACCCCATTCAGCTGGCATTGGATTTAGCAATATTTATCAGTTTTGCATCAAGGTTGCACAAGCATTTCGAAAGAACAGCTTGTTTTCTACAGCCTGCGGCGGAAGACGCTCCACGTGACTCCCGCCAGCACCAGGCCAGAGATGACATAGGCTGGCCCCTGCGAATGGCACAGGGTTGTCTTTTCCAAGTGGTGCACCACTTTGTTCTTGGCAATCAATGCTGGATATAGTGGTTCAACTCTTCTTGCCTGCCAGCAGGATGCAGACTCAAGTAGTGGATACTACAGGCAACTCAAGGTCACCCGGAATTGCTGTGCAGCGCGCATCTTGCCACAGGAGTACTATAAACTGCCGGAAATGGTGAACACAATCATCATAACTACCGCCCTGGCTCAATCGCATGCCTGGAAACATCACCTGAGGCCAGGCCCAGCCTGCAACGAGGTTCTACGAAACTCCCTGTGTTCGGTCAAGCTTCCTGCCGCGGGTCAGCTGGAAAACTGGTGCCGCTTTTGCTACATGCTCTGATCAAACCAACATCCTCGCAAAATCGCGGCGTTTCAACTTCCAAGTTTGATTTGAGCCTAGAACAACATGCCACCACGGAATGATGCACCATATATACCGCTTCATCGTCTCAAAGTCATCCCCTACAATTTGGGTATGGGTCAAAATTAAACCAACAGGGGACCGCAGGTTTTAGTCCATGTTTCCATTTGCCAGGGTTCTATTTTGGGTACCTATTTTTGACCCACAGCCATTATTGCTTTGAACATTCTACCATTCCCCGAGCATCGTGCAGCACTCTGTAAACTCCCTTGACATGCTTAACCAAAATGCTGGGTGCCTCAGTCACACACTGTTTCGCCTACCAGCTTGGTCCCGATGCCTTCCCTCCCACAAAACCATCAGCATGACCCAAGCTCAGCACTGCAAAATGGAAAGAACATGGCACCGCTAGGTCGCACAAACAAAAGCGCAGTACAAAAGCAAAGGTCGGCTGAGTCCGAGGCCCGTGGGAGCACTGCTCAATGGCGTGTTGCTCAGAAACTGCACGAAGCTCTCGCCTCCTGGCGAAAAACAATCCCCAAAACAAGCACACCAAGCAGAAGTCATGGCGCTCGCCATGGAACAAAGCGGCCAAACACTGGAATTAAGGTGCAGGGGCTCTGCCGGTTAAGGCTTGCCGTGAGAGTCCGCGACAAATGAGCTGCCAAGAGAAACACCGCTGGAAGCTTGCACTATTTCTGACACCATCAGCTGCGGAAGCTTTGGCAGCAAAGCTTGCGGCAAGTTGAGGACATGCAACATGCAAGAAATCGGCCGTGCTCACCCTCCGATGTAAGTGACTGAAGCATAATGCAAGAAAGTGTGAGAAAGTGCTCACTTACTCAATTCATAGCAGTAAGCAGCAAATTTACAGCCTTCCACGGCTACTGGTTCTTGCCTTCGGCTTCTCAGATCCTCTTGTTACACAGGACACAAAACGGTTTCCGAGCACAGTGTTTCCTACCACTTACCCCTTAAAACTCCAAGAACTGGGGAAGTTAATCTTTTACAGACATATAGCCATGTTACCCAAAAAGTTGAAAAGTTGTGTTGTTAAGAGGTAAGACCAGCTTGGTTGGCGTTTTGCCCCTGGAACTCGGTGTCAATTCACCGACCAAGGATCGCGGTGGGATGAACTGCTGCCACGCAGCGCTCCTTGCGAAGTGCATTGCAAGGCTAGCTGCAGCGCTGTGACGGCACCCACGATGCGAATCGTCCCGCGCCGCACCATGTTAGGACTCTGGATTTTGAGCTTGGGGCAGCCGCCGATGAATCTTTGGGGCCTCTGTGTTGAGGGCTCATGCCTTGATCAATGTTGCATGGTAGATGATATTGGTTCCTCATCATCTCCTCGGCCTGCCTGATTTCCTGCAACACTGCATCATTGCACAAATCAAACATGTAATTCGACAATTTGAGCTGGCAGCATTGACGACTTAAACTTGACAAGCGGCTCTCGTCAACGTGGTCAACGGGCACAGGCCCCCAGAGCCGACGAACAATGTGCAACTTGTTTGGCTCAAGGAAAGGGTGAGAAACCATCATAGCAAGAAAAATCATCCCTGAATATCTTCTTCCACGGATGCATCGGCAATTCCTCATGCTCTCTCCCTAGCTGTCCCAGCCTCACACTTGTGGACAAGGCAGGCGCAAAGCAAACCTAAAACACCCCAGCCCAATCACCGAGCCAGAACCAGCATTTTGATCCGCCGCTGCGCCATTGACAGCTCGCCTACAGGAAGTCGGCGAACTGCGCATCCTGGTGCACGCGTTGTGAACATGCGCCGTTGGAAGTTTGGAAGTTGCTGGATGTTGCTGGCTTCCCTCCGAAACCAAGCACAACATATTGCAAGGTCGCCCGAGCTTTCTTTGAGGCAGCTTGAAAAACAGGCCCTTCTCCCTCTCCAACCAAGACCAAAGTTCCAAACTTTGCTAATCATGGACCACGAACTCAGCATGGTATGATTGCTCGGGGTCAAAATTTTGGGAATGCGAGCCATTTCACTGCTCTTGTCTTTTTGTCCTGCCCGCTAGCATTAGTTCGAGAGCCAGACAAAAGCCACCTTTCCATGCACCTGAGAGAACCAGAGGTTCACAAACAAATCTGCCAACCCGCTCAAAACCATGTCCGCGCGCCTTCCTTTTCTGCGTCTCCGGCGGCTCTAGAAGCAGAAGCGCTGCTTCTCAGTGTGCGTTCGCTTGAGAGAGGGACCCGGCGTGTTCCCAAAGGCATGGCCCTGGGTGTTTCGCCGAAGCACGTTCTCACCCACAAATTTCGCGCATGTTTCCAACAAAGGCAAGGACTGCAACGCCATGCAAGGCATTGGGCTGAAGTTTTGCATCTGCCAAGTGTGGCAGCTGCCTGCCAGAGACAAACACAGCGCCAAGAAAACTTCGAAGCGGCCAAAGCTTCGAAGCGTCCTGTCGCCAACAGCTGAAGATTGTTTGCTACTGCGTGTCTTCCATAATGCACACACCCAAGCCTGAATGATCTATGCTCCAACCTCCAAAGGGAATATATGAATATGATGCAAAAGTAAAAACTTGCCTGGACACATTTTTCATGAATACTGTGCAACATGTATAAGCGCGTAATCGTGCGGACCAACGAGGCTTCAGGCAAGCTTCGACTGACCAAACGCTGAGATGATCCAACGCATAGAAGCCAACCCACTCAAGGTGTGGGCATTTTGCATCTTGCTGCCATGCCACGCACAGGCCCGTTGCGGAGATTCTGGGTGCCGGATCGCTGGGAGGCCTGGCAGCTTGTGGGATCCATGCAATGAGCGGCCCTCAGCATGAAAGTCAATTCAAGCCAAGCACGGCAACAAGACGAGGCCACCGTAAAGTCGTGTCAAACTTTAGCACGCTCTCAAAGCTTTAACAATCCAACCAATCTCACCACCCGTTCAAAACACACAGAAAATACAGCGCCTAGCATGCGAACAGAAGAGCGAAAGTGATGCGTGGGCCGAGGCAATCTACTAAGGGAGTTCGAATCTCCATGCTGGGCAGGCGCATGACTTGCTTCTTGGTGGCTCGTATTCATCGCACGTTTCAAGCTCATGGCGCCAGATCAGCTCATGGCGCCTTACAAGGCCACCACACATGGCAGTGTTCTCCAAAGGCTTCCTTCATCTGGTTGGTCCAGCGCCGCGCATCGAAATGCGCACCTCGGACAAACTCGCAGCTGCAATACCACCAGCCTGGCTTTGCACAAACCATTCAGGAATGCTTGCAGCCCCTTGCCACACCAGAAACAGCCCACCTACAACAAAATACAGTGTGTTTGCACCTGCACTGCTGGGGCTCTGGCAATTCGTCCTTGGCACACGCTGGCGCAACAGTCATGTTTGCCGGCCAACGTGCGGCAGCCCTGGAAATGGCTTTGAGTTGCAATTCCTGTGGAATGCTCAGGCTTGGCTTTCACTCGTGTTTTTCTGTGTGCTGAATTGCCGTTTGCTTACCTGCAATCCTGTGGGTGTTGAAGTGAGCAAGTCTGGCAGTATGCGTTTCTGCAACTTTGACCCAAACAATTTCCCAAAGCTCCTCATCTACTTGCGAGGCGACGCTTCAAAGGAAGAACACAGGGAGAACACCCGACACACCAGCACAAATCTCCCCCTGAAGGAGACTGCCCGAGCTGCTTCTTTACTCTTTGAATGGCTGCATGTCCAATGTGCTCCTGAACTTACCCCATGCAAACTTACCGATTAGGGGCACCACTAACTCCCAAGCGGCATGCTGGGATTGATGTAGCTGCCATCCTTGCCGGCCCGGAGTCGGATAAGCACCGCGCAGTGGCCCATGCAAAGCACTTGGGACTCGGGCTGGCGCTTGTTGAGGCAATGATACTCTTCCATTTGGTTAAGGCCCCAGGAAAAAATCAACATATTTTTACTAGTGATGAATTCCTTTTAAAACCAACAAGGGGAAAAACAAATCTTAAGCAAATGGAGGTACTAGTTCTGTGTTGCTTTGTGTGCTAACAAATTCACACTCACGCACCATGGCAGTTTCTCCTGGAGTTGATTCTAGGGTGCAGCTGCTTCAGAAAAATGAGATGTGGAAGTTGCGTGGTGCAGAACATCGAAGCCTCTGCCGTGGCCGCTGAGCGTGGCTGGACTGCTGTAAGAAATCAAAAATAACACCCCGCCAAAATCTAGCATGAACCTTGGGTACTGACGGCAGGAGTGCATGACATTCACGTTGGATTACTTGGAGCATCAACCGGGATCAGGACTTTGGACATATTGCCTTGATTGTCAGGCGAAACACATCCATCAAATACGTGGTTGAGCACAACGGCAAAGCCAGGGGCCATGACCAACGAGCAGTGCCATCATTAACAGCTGAAAGCAAAAACCGACGCTCAAATGTTTTCCAGGTTCATCAACACTTGCATCCTCCATGGCTCTCTGTTGTGCAACATCCAACCGTAGCAACTGCCCGATCTTTGCCGCTATGCAACCTGTGCTGATAAACTGTGCGGTGAGTTGTGAGCTAGTCACATTAAGCGCGTATCTTATTGACAATTGATTGTCATCACAGTGCACAACAAATGTCTCATGACGATCTAACCCCAGCTCATGCGCCCTATTTGCGGGTGAGAAATCCAACACTTTGGGACTCCTGTGCGTCTGGATGATAGGGAGGGCTGGCATCAAAAGTCAAAAGGTTCCAAAAACAGCCCCTCTGCACGGTCTGCACGGTTGCACTCAGCAGGTCCGTCCTCGTGGCACATGGCGCCATCGAAATTGAAGCCGTCCGGGCAGGTGCGGTTGAAATTCCGCGTGCATTGCCACGCTGGAGGCTGGCCCTGAAGCTGAGCGCTGGGAACTTATGAGGTCTTTGCGAGTGCCGAAAAGGGGCCGTTTTGCTGCACTGATGCAATGGAATGGCTGCAAACAAGTAGCACGGAAATTGAGGCGACCAAAGCATCAAACATAGTCACAATGAACCAGGGGCCCGTTGGATCCTTTATGATCCTTTGCAGTGAAGGTGCCGGAGCATGGGAAGGATACCTGGCAGGAGTTGGCTGCGGCTTGTTCATGTAGCGGCTGGCAAGCGGCCATTGCGCCTCAGCTCAATGAAGCCTGGCAATCCGGCGAAAAGCATCGGCCCATGGTCTGATGTCCAGGTGGCATGGCAGTCAAGCACATTTTTTCAGAAAGCAGTTTACCCAGCACAGGTTTTGCGCATTCCTGCTTTACCTCGTTGTACTCATTCCCAAAAACCTCGAGGAATACCACCAAACAACAAAAAAAACAAAGCCCCCGGCAGAATGCTCTCAGCTTGGGACTTGGACATTTCCCTGAGGCTGTGTGTGTTTGGTTTTGTCGAGATGTTGTATCTTCATTTTCTTTTTTGGTTGCCCTCGAGGTTTTTGGTGTCTGGGCTTTATTGTTGCAGTTTGCTCGGTTGCCCTGAGTTTTTCTGGGCTTGACTACTCTCGTACGCTCTAGCTCTGTCTGAGGGCGCACTAGGGGTAAGAACGTGGTAAGGGTATCGGGGAGTGCTAGGCAAACATTCAGGGAATCATGAGAAATTCCAGGGAATAGTAGGAAAAGCCAACGGGATACTAAGGGAATACCGAGAGAATACTAAGGAATACTACTAGGGAAACATTTGGGGATAATATAGGGGGAATGCAAAGGGAATGCTAGACTACTAGGGGAATACTGGGAGAATACTACGGGTGTACCAAGAAAATACTAAGGAATACTAGGGCAACATCATCAGGGAATACTAGGGGTGAGAGAATATTAAAGGAATAGGGGAATACTCCAGGAATATAAAGGGAATGCTGGGGAAATACCAAGGGAATACTAGGGAAATACTTTTTGACTTCGGAGGCTGTGCTGGACAAGTAAGGTAGCTTCCAAATTCAATACATCCGCACGTCCTGTTCACATGCCTGATGCGCTAACCAGCGGGGGAGAAAAAAAAGAGAACATGCACTGCCTGAGTCAGTCTCACAACTCATGTGACCACCTAAGGTCTGCAAACGTTCACTTCGACGCGTCTGTTTCTCTACGCTTCTGGCCTACGTTGCATCAAGTCGTAGCTTGCAGAACTCGGGGAATCCACAGCGATTGTGGCAGCGCCTTCCGGGGTTGGACCCAGGCAGTGGGCACGAGCTTCTCACATCGTGTCCCATTGACTTAGCCGGAACTTGCGGACCAGCACATTCCAAAGACTCTTGTAGAAGCGGCTGTTCGGTCTGTAGCTGACGCAATACCTGAATGGTCTCACGTTCGTCAATCTGGATCTGAGTTGTTCCAAAGCATCCAAGCCATGATGGTCTCAAACTGCTCCCTCATCATCACAGCCTTTTGCAAGGCGCAGCAATGCCCTCAGGAATGATATCACTGAAGACTACGTAACTTTCCGTTGGCTGTTCCAGTTTTTCGCAGCAGAGCTATATAAAGCTTTTCCAGCAGGCTCCGCCACCTTGTGGAAGCCATGCGTCTGTGCTTGTCGCATGGAATACCCGAGACAGGAAAGAAGTGTCTGCTCAGCGGCAGCCATGGAAACCGAAATCACACATGCACGATCCCAAGCGAATACTGAAGGAATATTGGGGGAATACGGAGGGGACAACAGGGCATTCTGGGGGAATATTTCTGGGGGAACACTAGGGAATTACTACTAAGTAAATGCTAGGGGAATATTCAGGGAATATTTTGGGAATACTGAGAGAATACCAGGGGTGTGTCAAGAAAGTACCACAGGAACCAGGGGAACACAGAGGAAATAGTAGAGGGTATAGCAAGATGATACTAGAGGAATACTAGGAGAATATGGAATCACTATGAAGTCTTGAAGCATATAGATTACTAGAAGACTGGGGAGAGGAAACATGTCTGTAGTGGATGATTCCCAAAGAATGTGTTTGGAGGAGCCAGTGTTCCCGACAATGCGTGTTTGTTCTCTTTAGATATTAAAACAAAAGTGGTGTTGTATGAAAACATTGCTGGGGACACTGCCCTCTCTTTTTCTGAGCAAGCAGTTCCATTTTTTCGCGCAGTTGCTCAACAAAAGAGTGCGACAAGTCCTAGCCCACTCCAGCACTGGAAAGCAAGCCGAAATCCCAGCTCCTGTGGCAGGCTGATGCGGGCTGCCCACAATCAGCTCTTCAAGAATCAAGTAAGTCTCTTTTGCCCCGATTCGGCCAAGTTGCATTGCAGTTCGCCGCGAACGTTGCCTCTGGGCAATTCCGAACTCTCATGCGCTTTGCCTCCAGAACTCAAGAACCGGAACATCACTACCTCGCGTGGACCAATGTGCGCTTCCACAAGTAAGCGTGCTCTTGCGCCTTTAGCCCGCCGGCTTCACAACCTGAACCATGACAAGCTACTCTACAGCCATGATATTCCTTCAACTCTCATGAAACCGCACACAACAGCCTACACCACGCAATCCTTGGGTGGCTTGGCATGTTTACACCGTGATGACAAGCGCCTTCATGCCCTGGGTGTAGTTCAATAGGTTCATCTTGAAAGGGCAGGTGCCGCTGTAGAAGTACGGCGCTGAGCAAAGGCCATCCTTCCTGGGATGCCAAGAGATCTGGCATGGAAATACAGGCCGTTGGCGCGAAACCAGCGCAAGCGGCTAGGCTCCGATAATGAGCGAGACGCTTCGAGTAAGCAAGTTGCTACCATCAATGTTAAAGGCAATGTGAGTGCTTGTCCAAACACCGCTACACCATGCCACCCGCGACTGCGTTGGCAATTGACTCATTCGAGCCTGACATCCATTAGGATTTGGAGGGTCTCGGGTGGGCCGCCTGTTGGCTGGGTTTCTGATTCAACATGATTCAGCTCAGCGGGGGCTGAAACATCTTTGCTCAGTGAGCAGCGACACGGCAAATCCCAGTTGCTCCCCATAAGCCGCCGGACACGAAACGCCGGCTTGTTGTTCAACTGGCATTTATACAAATGGTGCGCGCATCTGGCACTTCTATTTGTGGCAATGCTCCCTTCGCATCTTATTTTCCATCCCTTATGACTCATGTCCGCCAGCCCCCTGCGGCATGCAACGAGCTCGTTGTTTTTCAGTAGCGCGTCTGCAGCGGGTGAGGAACATGGGCAAGGGGCAAAGCAGCAGGTAACGGCTTGAAGCGTGACAAACAGCTTGCCGTCTCGTCTCAAGCTGCATTTCAGTGAGTCACAGCCAAGGCTTGGACAGGGGTCCGCACCGGGCACCTTGCCAAATACCTCTCGTTGATCGGACGAAAGCTGAGCAGATCTGTCGGCTGGAGCACCTGGAAGCCTTCCAGCAACAAAAGGAAGCCATTTGATGCAATCTCAGCGGCTGGGCAGGCCACGCTTCTGTAGGTTATACCAGTGTCCCTGGTGTTTCTGTGCCTGTGGGTGTCTGTGTGTGTGTGTGCGCCTGATGTCCGTGTCTTCGTCTTTGTGCGTCAGACCGTCTGCGTATCTATGTAAAAGTATCTCTGTGTATGTGTGCGTCTGTAGTTGCCCGTGTGGCTGCATGTGTGCTTCAAGTGTCTGCGTGTCACCGTGTGACATCTGCATGTCTGCGGCCCTGCCTGTCTGAGTGTCTGCATGTTGCGAGTTCAAGCGTTCGTGCGTGCGTGCGTGGGTGGGTGGGTAGGTGTGTGCAATTCTGATGCAAGTTGTGCGCGTACATTACTTTACGTGCGTGTCCTGTCTGTGTGTGTGGCTGCGAGCGCTTGTTGCGTCCTGCCACATGTGTGTGTGTGTGTGTGTGTGTGTGCGTGCGTGCGTGGGTGTGTGTGGGTGTGTGGGTGTGTGGGTGTGTGTGGGTGTGGGTGTGTGTGGGTGTGTGGGTGTGTGGGTGTGTGGGTGTGTGGGTGTGTGGGTGTGTGGGTGTGTGGGTGTGTGTGGGGGTGTGGGGGTTTGGGGTTGTGGGTGTGTGTGGGTGTGTGGGTGTGGGGCTGTGTGTGTGTGTGGGTGTGTGAGGGTGTGTGGGTGTGTGGGTGTGTGTGGGTGTGTGGGTGTGTGGGTGTGTGGGTGTGTGGGTGTGTGTGTGGGTGGCTGGGTGGGTGGGTGGGTGGGTGGGTAGGTGGGCGGGTGTGTATGTGTGTGTGTATGTGTGTGTGTGTTTGTGTTTGTCTTTGTGTGTGTGTGTTTGTGTGTGTGTTTGTGTGTGTTTGTGTGTGTGTGTTTGTGTGTGTTTGTGTGTGTGGGTGTGTGTGTGTGTGGGTGGGTGGGTGGGTGGGTGTATGTGTATGTGTATGTACGTGTGTGTGTGTTTGTGTGCGTTTGTGTTTGTGTTTGTGTTTGTGTTTGTGCTTGTGCTTGTGCTTGTGCTTGTGCTTGTGCTTGTGCTTGTGCTTGTGCTTGTGCTTGTGCTTGTGCTTGTGCTTGTGCTTGTGTTTGCGTGTGTGTGTGTGTGTGTGTTTGTGTGTTGTGTTTGTGTTTGTGTTTGTGTTTGTGTTTGTGTTTGTGTGAGTTTGTGTGTGTGTGCTTGTGTGTGTGTGTTTGTGTGTGTGTGTGTGTGTGTGTTTGTGTGTGTGTTTGTGTGTGTGTTTGTGTTTGTGTGTGTTTGTGTTTGCGTGTGTGTGTGTGTTTGCGTGTGTGTGTGTGTGTGTTTGGTTGTGTTTGTTTGTGTTTGTGTTTGTGCTTGTGTTTGTGTTTCATTGTTCTTTTTGTTGTTGCTGTTGTTTGTTTTTGTTTGTTGTTGTTTGTTTGTTTGTTTGATTGTTTTTTTTGATTAAATGATTGATTGATTGATTGTGCTTGTGTGTGTGTTTGTGTGTGTGTGTTGTGTGTGTGTCTGTGTTTGTGTTTGTGTGTGTGTGTGTGTTTGTGTTTGTGTTTGTGGTTGTGTTTGTGTGTGTGTGTGTTTGTGTGTGTGTGTTTGTGTGTGTGTGTGTTTGTGTTTGTGTTTGTGTTTGTGTTTGTGTTTGTGTTTGTGTTTGTGCTTGTGCTTGTGCTTGTGCTTGTGCTTGTGCTTGTGCTTGTGCTTGTGCTTGTGCTTGTGCTTGTGCTTGTGCTTGTGCTTGTGCTTGTGCTTGTGCTTGTGCTTGTGCTTGTGCTTGTGCTTGTGCTTGTGCTTGTGTTTGTGTTTGTGTTTGTGTTTGTGTTTGTGTTTGTGTTTGTGTTTGTGTTTGTGTTTTTGTGTGTGTGTGTGTGTTTGTGCTTGTGTTTGTGCTTGTGTGTTTGCGTCCTGCCGCATTTGTGTGTGTGTGAGTGCGCGGTATCACGGTTGTGTGACTTCGAGATTGTATGCTTATCTTCCAACTTTTCTTCATCTGTCTGTGTTGTTGCGGCGTCTCATGTCCCCGTGTGGCTAGCCCTTGTGTGAACGGCTTTTCCCTGCGCTATCCTCAAGCCGTTGCTACGTGTGTTTGCTTGCTTTTGGGTGCAAACATGAATTTCGCGACTAAAATGGCCAGCCCAGGATTGATAAAGAAATCAGCCCCCAGCCCGCTCGCTGCACGCGCGAATCTGGCGGGTCCGGGAAGGTACAAGCAGGCTCTGAATGCCTTGCTCCCCAAATTTCAACAACAAGACTGTCCCAAAAGACTGCAACTAAATTGATTCCAATCAAAAGCACTTGCGCATGAGACTTACTTGGAATGCTGTCAGGTCTGAAACGAAACCTGCTGACTGCAGCATCAGTGGGCGAACAACTGGCGCATCTCAATGTGCATGCACAAGCCACCTGCCAAGCGAAATGGCTGCTGAAATAATTTTGACCCCATATTAATCAACCCCAGTTATTGATAGGGGGGGGTTCCCCTCCGAAAGTGATGAATCACCCCTAAACCTAGGGACACCCCTCTATTAATAAGCTGTCCTGAAAACTTCACTAAGGCTGCGCGAAACAAAAAGGAATGGCCAAAAGCCAAAACTACTAAATCCTAGCTCAAGCATACAAACAAAAGGGATCCAAGCTATATCACTGCACGGCCGCACTCTCAGTGACTGGCTCTGGCAAGAACGATTGCTCTTGCTGCACTCCTTTCGTCCAACTGGCCAAACAGAAGTAAGGGAAAAGCCAAGTCAAGTATCTTGGAAGCAGCCCACCACCTTACCTTCACAACCCTTGGTAGGTTAGAAAAAACATGCTTTTTGCAGCCCCCTACTAAACATAAACAAAACGACAAAAACTGAAAGATCAAAACCATGTCAACAGTGAAGCTTCTCAAGGATTTCCAACGGGATCAACAGAAGTGCTGCCTATCAATGAGTTTCAGCCGGACCTGGAAGGGCAATGGAGGCCTTGAGGTCTCCATTGGGCTCACGGGCTTTAGGCGTCCAATGAACCCTTCAGCAAGTGGGCCGTGGCAGCTGAATTGCGCCTTCTCCACCCAAACGCAAAAGTCTTTACAATCTTGAGATCAAGCAAAATATGCATGGGAAGAAGTCAAACAAGTCAGCGCACCTTGGAAATTCTACTGGGGACGGCCGTGTCAGGGATTTGCTTTTCCGTGTGCAGAAAGCAGCTGCCAAGGCAGGAAGGCGAGCTGCACAGAGCAGCTGCCACAAGTGCCTGCCCTAAATGGCTGTGGGAGAGAGCCAACCTCTGAATCGAACCTCATGTCCGAAACATCAAATCCCAATGGGAGATCCACATCAGGCATTCAGAATTTCCCTGATTTCGCTTGGAAGTTCAATCCAAAAAGCAACAGCACAACCTGGACGCGACATCGCTCCAACTTCCCGGAAATCAAAACCCGGCGGAATAGACACGTTGAAACACAAACACCGACTTCTGCAATCGGGCGTATGCCTATCGCCCAGGCACGCATGCCTTAACAAGTGCTGGGCTCGCGCATCGATCAACTTCCATGCGAGCACTCACAGCGAAGTGACGCAGTAATATAAACTCAGAACTCCCAATGAACGCGCTGGCGCGTGACGGTCATGCATTCGAGCACATTCAACAAACTTGCAAGTAACACAGTACTGGCGAACTATCAGTTGGGCTTACCCACGCATACATGCTCGCCCCCCGTTGCGTCAACAGAACAACTCCAACTATAATGGATATGCTAAATGCGTCTGAGGCGGTGTTTTTTTCTCTCCCCCGCACATTTTGTGTTCACTACTTGTGTGTTCCACCATTTTGCTCATTCCGTGCCTTCGTCGTTGTCTTCTTCCGGGTCTTCGTCCGGGACTTTGGTGGCAAAGATTTCCTCGGAAAGTTGCAGCCAGGTGGGTCATGCCCGACTAAATTGGATGGATATTGGGTAGGTGGCGGGCGGAAAGCCAAGTGGCACCAGATAAGATGGTCTTAGCCGAAGACAGCGGGGAGAAGAACTTCACCCCTCTCACGGCCGTCTCCTCCGGATTTGATTGATTGGGCTTTTTGTTCCCAAAGCCTTGCATGCCTTGCAACAACCTAAGCGGCGCCTTGCAAACTCTAGGCCGACTGTCATGACATGTTTAGTGTTTGCGCAGCATGCTAAGCCCATACCTAAGCATTCTGCAGGCGACCAAACCGGAGAAAACAAAAAGTGAGCAGCACACCAGCCGGGTGTAGCATGGTCTGCTTGATGCAGCATGTATATTGCACGTATATAATACGTGTGAGTATGCTAGCATCATATCTTCCAGCGTAGGTCTGAAGATTGACACAAACATGCGTGCGGTGTTAAACATCCAAGATACACGGATCAACTTGCGATGCAACTGCATCGGAGGCAATGTGTAATTTCAAACTGTGGTGTGGCCCAAAGGCAGGTCAGCTTTCAAGATTGATAATATTGATGCGATGTTTGGTGCTGTTGGCTTCTTCTGTAGCAAGGGCACCAACATGCGTTGCTGCAAACTGGCATGATGCTTGGTCGCCAATTCCAAGTGTGAGGGGCAAACGTGTCACTCATGTAGCGCGTTGTGCAGGGATGCCAGCTTCAACATATGCTCACAAGCAGCTTGTTAAATGTGTGATTTGAGAAATAGCCTGTATGTCAGGACTCAAGACTCGCCCCTCAGCCGCTCCTGGCATTTCTGGCCTGCGTGGCTTGCATTTGCGTTGTCCTGCACCCAGTTGAAGACCTTTTCCCTGGGCGGCTTCTCTTACCGAATGCAAGCAACTGCACATTTCCGCCAAAAACAGCAGCCATGCCTGCACCCTCCATGTTCCAACATGCTCGCATGCAGCCCCTCCTTTGCACACCAGCATCTGCGATGTTCAAGCCATGGGGCTGGGAATGCATGTCAACGCTCCCAATGTTTTACCCACCCAGGAAGCAACCCGAAACCCCAGAAACAGTCGACAGAATGATCCCGCACAATGACCAAGCTGGTTTGCCAGTTCGCACCCCCGCCTGTAGCTTGGCTTTATCCACTCCAGCAAATTCGGCAGCGCCTCCTTTGGGCAATCTTCACTCTGCGCAAAGCAGAGCGTTACAGACTTGAGCGGAAAGTCGTCATCCAAGGAGTCCAAGTCAATGACGAGCTCCACCTTCCTTAGTCTAAGCCGCCATATGGTTGATCTTCCAAGATCTGCTGGCTGGGAGGAGAGGGTTCCGTGGAGCTTCCGAGAAGCTTCAGCGACATCCAGTTTTGGTCATTCCGAGGCTGTCTGTGCACAATCTGTTCTACGCCGACCCTGGTCCTGTGAGCCGGGTGTCACATCAGCTCACTGACACCAGAACACCACCAGAACACCACCGAAACACACCACCGAAACACACCACCGGCACACTGCCAGAACAAACAAAAACGGGACACCACCAAAACATCGGCAAGCACACAACAAGGACGCCACGGTGGACGAGCGGTATTGGTGTTTCGGTGGTTAGATGCAAGGTGTCCCATTCCACTCTGCACGCATGTTCCCGGTCTCGGTTCTTTTCCGTGCCAGTGGTGCTCTGGCGGCACCACCTAAATTTATGTCCAGTGGTTCAAATTGCACACCACCCCAAAAACCTGACCACAGTAGAGAAGCCCCGAAATTTTCTCCCAAAAACCCAACCATTGTAGACCATGTCCAGGTCTTGCGAAAGTGTACTGGTGTCCCACATTTCTTCTGGCGTCTCGATAGCGCTCCTGGTACGCCAGTTGCTGCGCCGTCCCTCCGGCGGCGCCCAGTTTCTGCCAGCAATGTCACGGCAAAAGGCGGGACTGGCTGTAGTATGTAATGTGTACATTGTGTTCATCATCATCGGTGT